CTCTAGATTAAATGTTCCCCAACACATACAAAGTATCAAGATGATTGACTTGATTTATCAAGGAAAAATATCCACTTTGTTTCCTATCAGTAAGCTCACTGGACCCAAATTTTTACAACAAATTTAGGAAGAAAGGAAGGAAAGTAGTAAATGTTGCCTGTTCCATAATAGTGCAGAATCTTATTCACTAATTTTAAGTGATAACTCAAGTTTGTATACCCGTTTGAAAATTATTAGATCCCAGATGGGATAACTCTTTGACAAGAAGGCTGAAGGCATGGGGTGCCTGGGTGGCTCAGTGGGTTAAAGCCTCTGCCTTCGGCTCAGGTCATGATCCCAAGGTCCTGGGATCTCTGCTCATCGGGGAGCCTGCTTCCCCCTGTCTCTCTGCCTGCCTCTCTGCCTACTTGTGACCTCTGTCAAATAAATAAATAAAATCCTAAAAAAAAAAAAAAAGAAGAAGGCTGAAGGCTCAGATAACTCAGTCATGTCATAGCATGATTAACAATTTTATTTTCCCACAGAGGTAGACTTCAACAAATCAACCACCTATTTGTGATAAAAAAGGAAATTATAATAATAGTGAAACCATATGAAACTCTTATTCAAAATTAAGAATTTGCGTATTGCATTGTTTCTCTCAGCCTCAAAATTCTTCTGAGAAATAATTAAGTTATAAAATGATTGGTTATTATGACTGGTGGGAGAAAAAGTGGGTCTCTGTTTCTTTCCTCAAATCTCTCAAGAAAAGACTACAGTTACTGAGTGTATAGAGGAATGTCAATCACAGGTATCAGTGATATTGTTTGTAGGGTATTTTACAGCACAAAGCAATAACAAAGTATTTAGTTCTCAGGTTATGAAAGGTCATTTCGTGAAAATGATTTGACATAACACAATCCTAAATTTGATAAACTACTCTCAAAATATTTAAGAAGTAAATGAAGCAATGAAACACATTGGACAACACAAGCCCAGTTTTATACAGGAAAGCTTCTATTGAGGAATATTCTTTTTACAGACAAAGGCCTTTGTTTTGAGTCTAGGATGAGATAGTTGGTCATTTGAAGGTATGTTTATTTATATTTTATAGGAATGAGAGAGTGGTAGTCATCTCCTGAAGTCTTACTTTTCCTTTGGTAGTTCTGCTTGAGTTACTAAAATTTCCTGTTATTTTGTGTAGAATGCATCATAGGCTGCCAGTAAACAAAACTTTGTATCATTGTCTGAAATTCTAAAACAGAAATGGGGACCCAGATGGCGGAAATACTGTTTTGTATCACATCAAAAGCGATAAGCTAAATTTTACAAAGGACTAGAACATCCCTTGCACTGAGAAAACAAAGAAGGACAAGAATGGGCGCCTGGGTGGCTCAGTAGGTTAAGCCTCTGCCTTCAGCTCAGGTCATGATCTCAGGGTCCTGGGATCGAGGCCCGCATCGGGCTCTCTGCTCAGCGGGGAGCCTGCTTTCTCCTCTCTCTCTATGCCTGCCTCTCTGCATACTTGTGATCTCTCTCTCTCTGTTTCAAATAAATAAATAAAATCTTTAAAAAAAAAAAAAAGGGACAAGAATGACTTGTTTAAACATGCAAATTGATACTGAGTGATGTCCCAGCCTTCAGAGATCACGGATGTAACCTTTGAGAAAGAAACTGAAATCTCTTTACAGATGAACTAGATCCTGCTTTGGTAAGGGACAATTCAGGCCATGGTGCATTTTTAGTAAATTAACAGATGTTTCTGATAAATCTGTAACTCAGAAGGATTCATCATGCTCATTGCATTTGACAAGCCAAAATTAAGCAAGTTAAATCAGTCCCAAGGAAAGAAAAATGCTGTGTAGACAATCCATCAAATGACCAAAATCTAGAGTAATCTCTTCAGGGGGCAAGAGCTTATACTACTTGAATGTACCTTTTGCTCAGAAAAGATTTCACTTGGAAGACCCACAGATATAATATTTTCTCTGAAATTGTGAACAGTTTCAATCCCATACATCCTAAAATAGGGTGGCTTAATACTGGATGCATAAATTTGCATCAGATTCATAGCATCAACTAATTAGGAGAAAACAGTAATTAAATATTAAGATGTGCTATGTGATTCATGCTCTGGCTTGCTGTGGGCTCACAAAAAGTCAGTCCTCTGTTCCTAAAGGGATGCAGAATGTCTTAGATTCTGGAGACAAATATGTGAGTTTAAACTCACATTCCACCTTTAACTGGCAGATTTTGGACAAGTTATTGAACTTCTCCATGTCTTAATTTCCTTATCTGTAGGATGCACCTACCTCAATAGAATTGCTTGGATTAATAGCTAATACATGCAAAGCTGTACAGCACTTAGAATGGCAGCTGGCACATGGTTAGCCCTCCAAGCAATTTTTATACCTATAACTGTTAAGGATTACTTGGGTCCCAGCAGGAGGGCAGTTAAGGTCTAGACTGCACAATAAAAATGAAACACTATTAAGTCCTAAAATCCAAACTTTGGGAAAGAGGGGAGGCATAGGAAGAAGGCCTTGAGACAGAGGACTTGGTTTAAAGGAGGGTATGGGACATCCTAAGTGCCTGAGAAAGATAGGACTGAGCATGGCCTTTAAGGAAGAACCAGCCTGACCCCAAAAATAAGGTTGTGAGAACACCCTGACCAGATAAGATATGGCAGGTTGATTCCATTCCTGAGGAAATTCCATTGCTGAGGAAATCAAACTCTGAGAGGGACCTATTATAGTTTCCTCAGGAATTGTTGTAGAAATAGTATTGGTTTTTAGGAAACAGGACAGAATGTACGGAGAAAGTCTAGAATCAGATAGCTCGGTTTAAAGGTATCAAGGCCTACCTAGGAATAAGTAGGTGAGGTTCTGGACCAGGGATAGACATGAGTAGAGGAGGAAGGCAACTACTAAGGCAAAACCAAGAAGTGGTTAAGTGATTAGATGTTCAGGCAATGGACAAGGAAGGCAAAAATGGCTCTAGAATTCTGAGGATGCCTCCATGGGCTACTATTGTATTGGTAATATAAGGCAGTATTAGGTAGATGATGGTAGGACATATTCTTTTTTTTTTTTTTTTTTTTTTTAGTAGGACATATTCTTATAAAATACAAAGGGAGTTTAGGAGCTGACCTTGCCCTATGTATCTAAAGGTTTCTAAAGATTTTTATTATTTATATTATTATTACTTATTTGAGAGAGAGAGTGAGAAAGAACACAAAAGGGAGGAGAGTCAGAGGGAAAAGCAGACTCCTGGCTCAGCAGGGAGCCGGATGAGGGACTCAATCCTGGAATTCCAAGCAGAAGGCAGTTGCTTAACTGACTGAGCCACCCAGGTGCTCTCTCCCAAGGTTTCTGAATGCCACTGAGGATGAGCAAAGAGGGTCAAGACTTCTGCGTGTTGCAAGAGCATCTCCTGTGCAACGGAGTGCTATTCAACAGAGCTATTAGTCCTTAGAACCACCTGAAGGCCTCACAGCTCATGAGTGCTCACACAAGGCAGGGCAAGCGCTTCAAATGGTGAACGCTTGGAAGCTCTACTCCCATAGCTTCCAAGTATACAAGACAGTATTGTTAACTACTACTAGCATCATAAAAACTCACACTGCGTTTGGTAGGACTCACTGTTGAAGGATCTCTGGGTGTGGAGCAGAGCTGGGGTTTTCTCAGAGCTTCTCAGCTGAATCATCTGTCTGCCATAGAGGGTTAAAAATGCAGGATCTTGAGTTTGCAAGGGGTAGGATTGGAATGGGAGGCAGTGAGGCAGGTCAGCATGTGGATGCCTCTGCTCTTAGATCTCTTAGACAGAGAGTCCACGGACAGTGGCAGAGCCACCGTACACATTTCCTGGACCCAGAGTCTTCCCATCCAATCTCTATTCTCTTTGGACCTGCTAAATCAATCTCTGTCTGCACTGCACAATTTTCTGAGAAAAGTTATTAAAAAGGACTAGTAATCTAAATAGAGGGCATAGACATGATGGCTGTCTCTGGGTGTGATTTCTAATTAAAATAAATTTTTAAAATAGCTTCTTGCTATCTTGCAAATTTCTGCAATGAATACATATTACTTTTGTAACTTCTCCAGGGAGATCTAATTTCAGTCAGGGCTATAGTTTAGGCCACAATCAGCTGCTCAATATCAAACTGGTGGCTTATTTATCTTAAAAAAAAAAAAAAAGAGCGAGATTGAGGAAAGAGTACTCCATATTCATGGCTCCTATGCCCTCTGAGTTCTGAATTCTCCCCAGGATCCTTGGCTGGTGCATTCTTTTCAGTTTATTCTGCCATCGAACAGATGCTTCCATATTAAGTCCTGTCCCTGTCATCCTGCGTGTTTAGCCCCAAAGGTGACTTTAAAAGCAAACCACACTAAGCCCAAATAATACAATCCAGGAAACAGGGATGGGCGAATCCTTTATTCCATTCACTGTAATTAAATATCTAGACCACAATCTCCCCCCCAGCATTTTTAGCACAAAGAATGAAAATACTTTAGACATGAAGAGGAGCTAGAGGAAAATCCCATACATTGACGTTAACTCAACAACTTTACAGAAGAGACTAGCCTAAGGGTATATTACATCTCTCTTTTAAAGTTTATGGAAAAATTCTTGTTGAATATGTGTTATGGTAAAACAAAATGCAGGCATGGAAAAACAAATGACTTTAAAAATAACATCCTTACAAGTCCAGCTTGCAGTCATTAGAGGTAGTACAGCTGGGGTCAGTTTATAGACTTCTGTTTTTAATTTGCATAAATAGCCCAATGCTTGGCCAGAGCAGGCACGCAGCTGCCTCACCCGGCTCGTTGATTTTGTTAGTCACCCCACAGACACCCAGAAGGTGCTGAGACACGGGTCAGGGCAGTACTAAGAATCAGCGTGAGGCTGCACCATGAGATTCCTTCTCCACTCCCACAGCAAGGAAAACCCAGAACTTCTTCTTTTTTTTTTTTTTTTTTTAACCCAGAACCTCTGACAATGTTTTCTCAACTTTGAGCTAGCATTTTTTTGAGTTCTGCTAATGAAGAAGAAACTCCCAGCCTCACCTCAAGAACATCAAACATCATGCAATGATACTTCCATTGCCCAGACTGACACATCACTAAGCCCCGAAATGGAAAAACCAAAGCAGTTGGTTTACCTTATGGTAAGTCACATCGTAAGTGCTTGCTAAAGTTCGGATGGTTGTGTCCCTCCTGAATTTATATGTTGAAATCCTAACCCCGGTGTGATGGTGTTAGGAGGTGAGGCCTTTGAGAGGTGATTAGGTCATGAGGATGGAACCCTCATGAATGGGTTTAGAGCCCTTAATAAAAGAGGTCCCTTGTCCCTTCTGCCATATGAGGGCACAGCCTTCAGAACTGTGAGAAATAAATGTTTGCTGTTTAGAGCCCCCACCCCCCACGTCTGATCTCATGGTACTTTGTTCCAGCAGCCCAGAAAGACAAAGCCAGTGTTCAATGCCCTTCTAGGTGAGGGAGTCATCGTTCTAGGGCAGAGGGCCAACCATTTATTCAATAAACATAGGACACTTCTGAAGTCTAGTTTCTGGTATTGTTGTGAACAGGATGCGGGTTTCCTAGAGAATCTGTGTCTTGCTTTATAGAAAGAAGATGATGCATTTGAAAGTTTAACTTCGTAGAAAGAAAAATTAAGAGGAAGCCTAAGATTAAAAGTCAAGTACTGATAGAAAATTTCAGGAAAAAATAGGGCAGATCAGAGTAGTTGGGGATGGCATCATAGAAGTGGGACTTAATCCGTCAAACGCTCATTTAACAGATTCCATGAATTATACCTTCCAAGGACTCAAAGATATAAAGGACTTAAAACGGGGCCTGATTCTAGCATCCTGATGCTTACTTTTGCCTGGTGTCTCGTTGAACACAGCAGGAATGTAGAGAGTGACAAGTGTCATAATAACAAACATGATAATGAGACACTTTCAGTCATAGAACTTCATATCTGGAAGAAATATTCCAACCCAATCTCCTCCTTTTATAGATAAGGAAATTGAATTTGTCACTTGTCTACCTTATACTGTTAAGTTTGAAACTGAGCTGGGATTCGGATCCTGGTATAGATCCTGAAGGATAGGCAAATTCCAGTAGAGGGAACAGTAAGGGCTCAGGCAAGGTTGATACTCAGGCGGTAGACACCAGTCAGTTTAACTTGAACCTTGCCTCACGCTATTGTCTGTTCTGATTGATGGGTGCCCCTGCTAACTCATTAACTATTCTGAATGTCACCCCGGGGTGGGGTGGGGGGAAGGCACATCTCATTTCCTGCTCCGCTAAATCAGTGTAACAGAAGGAGAGAGAGTTTTTAATAATGAAGTACTAGGAAGCAATTAATCTCTTAGCGCTGCACAATGCTTGATATGGCACACCTTTCTCCGAAGATCTCACTGACGGAGAATGAATGTACAAAACAGTTCTATGTGTTAAGAACAAGGTAAAGGACAGGACTAAAGAACAAGCTGAATCCAACGTCATGATTCCATTTATAAAGTTGAAAAATTATGTTAGGTGAAGTACTCACAGGTGTAAAATTAAAAAGGACAAAACAGGTTTGTTTTTGGGTTTTGTTTTGTTTGGTTTAGTTTGGTTTTATGGTATTAAGTCTTTACTCTGGGGACAAGGAAGTTAGGAAGGTGTAGCAACTCACAAGGTCTTCTGGGGCATGGCAATTTTCTACTTTTTCAATACTGGTATTCATTTTGTAACTAGTCATTACCCTACACATCTGTTTTATGCACTTTTCCATATGTTATATTTGACAACAAAAATGATCACTATAGCAGACTGAAGTTTGTTTTCTTTTTTGAAGGCTGGGAAAGTAATGTGGACAGATCATCAGGTTCAAGGAGTAGTTGCTTGAAGACAAAACAAAGGAGCCTGGGAACAAAGATGCTAAAATGGCATCACAATTAGAATGTGGAGATTAGCTATCAACATCTCAACATCCCTTTGTGGAGAAGAGCCCTTCCCATCCTCTCACTTCCACAGGGAGTGGTGGTTGTCATAAGCATTCTTGATTAACAGCGTAGTATTTCTAACACTTTCGGGAGATATGGCCAGCCAGACTTCTAGGAAAAACACAGAGTACAAATCTTGATAGTAAATGGGCTGAGAAAGGAAAAAGAGAAGAATGAATCATTGATTTCTGAATCATTGATTTTTTCTTTCTTTCTTTCTTTTTTTTTTTTTTTTTTTTTTTTTGCTCACTGTCTCATTTATTGGTGTTCTATTCAATGGCATTAAGTACATTCCCAATGTTGTGCAACTATCACCACTATCCATTTGCAGAACAGTCATTGATTTTTAAACAGTAAAAAATGGGCACAGGTTCTCAAGTCTGATATACTTTTTGGACAGATGGAGGAAGGAGGGAAGTTTTGTCTGTACGCATGGGGAGGGAGACCGTAGTCTTGGGGGGAAGGGTGTTTTCATAAGGGGGCAGTGACAGCAAGTGTCCCCTGCTGCGCAATGGCTTTCACGCTGATTAGCCCAGCAAGGACACCACGTGATCACCACGTGCAGCCTTTCTGCAGTGGTGCTGTTGGACCCTGAGCACTGGGACTTGCTGTGCTGGTCCCAAAGAGAGGCTGTCTGCAGCGGGACCATGGGAAGAACTGACGTGCCTGATGGTGGGTCTAACCTTCCCCAGAGCGGCAGTTCTTTGCGTTTTGGTTTGATTCTCCAAAAGTATTCTCTTGCTGCATGATATGCAAAATTAGTGTAATTTTGGAGGTGGAAGTGACCTAGAGATGATTTATTCAAACCCTCTCACTGCCCAGTTGCAGAATCAAGGATGATAAGAAGCCTGAGCAGGGTGATACCGCAGAGGGAGCTAGGTGCTACAAAATCCTGCAGCTGCTGCACTCATTTTAAAATTAAAGGGACTGAATTCTTAAAACCTTTTTCTTTTGCTTTATTTTGAATAGCCAAACCCTCTCAGGAATAATAAAAGCATAGCTAGAAATCTCTATCTGGTGGGGTTTCTTTCCCTTTAATTTTACCACATGTGGACCCTGAAATTGTAATAAGGAACAGGACCGAACATAGTAACTCACCATATAATGTAATCTAACCCAGATGTTGACGGCAGGCTGATTTCTGAAGCACAGGCTGAGAGCTTGTTTCAGAAGTGGGGAAACACTGGGATTCTAGAATAGCAGTCATAATCCTCAGCTAAATGTCCCTGTAGAGCTTGTAACCAAGGCCATTCCTGATACACAGAAATTTTTTATATTTATGCCCTTTGTCCATTCTCAGCTGCTTCCCTCCTCTTTCTTTCCTTCTGTGAGCCCATGTTCCCACATTCCTATTATTTCCTCCTCTCTCAGTTCCCAGGAGCATCTTGCTTGCCCTTGGGTTTTCGGGACCTCCCGTTAGAACATCCTGGCTAGGACTACATTTCTAAAAAAGCTTATGACTCATAGGACTATTTTCCTGAATTTTCCTCCATTATCAAAACCCCTTACTATCATTCTCAAGTCCAAAGTGTGCTAAGGGAAGCCTGGGTGGTTCAATCAGTTAAGCGTCTGCCTTTGGCTCAGGTCATGATCCTAAGGTCCTGGGATAGAGGCTGGCATCTGGCTCCTTGCTTAGCAGGAAGCCTGCTTCTCTTTCTGCCTGCCACTCCCCCTGCTTGTTCTCTCTCTCTGTCTGACTAATAAATAAATAAAATCTTAAAAACAAAAACAAAAGCAAAACACCCTTAGTGTCCTATGCTGACTCCCCAAGATAATTTTATAATTTAATCAGGGTTTATGGAGGAAGGACCAAATTCTGACTGACTGACTAACATACATACGTTTGTTTGTTTATTTATTTATTTATGTATTTACTTATTTATTTTAGAGAGGAAGCACGAGAGCCAAGGAAAAGGGAAAGAAGCAGACGTCCCGCTGTGTGTGGAGTCTGACTCGGGGCTTCATCCCGGGAACTCGAGATCATGAGCTGAGCCAAAACCAAGCCAGATGCTTGAGTGAGCCACCCAGGCACACCCCAAATCATGACCTTGGAAGGCCATAGGCACTTTTACTTTTAATGGGCCCCTTACTCCATTAAAAAAAATATGTAAAATCACATTGTACAACTGCTTTGGAAGAAAAATAAATACATTCCAGACTGGATTCATTATTATTTTCCCCTGTAATCTTTTAAAAAGTAAAAATGAAAAAATATTGTAGGCCCTAAGCATTGTACCTACTGTGCCTCAAGCGTACTGTCTGTGCCTATTAGTGCCTCCCGAAGATTGGCGGGTTACATTAGCGTATCAGACTGTGTTGAGTTATCACTAGGATGCTTTTGGTTGTAAATAATGGAACAAAACTCAAATGGGCTTAAACAATAAGGGGAATTTATAGGCTCACAGAGCTGGTCAAGTTCAGAGACTGCTATGGCTTAGAGTCAGGTAACTTCCCTTGTGAAACTTCCATTCTTCAGGTAAAGACAGAAACAGACCAGTCATAGACCTCACTTTTTACCTGCCCATTGGCCACTGCCCTCCCTGCCTACCTTCCTATCAGAGCTCACCTCCATGACGAAGGGAGCTGAAAAAGCCAGACTTGCTTTCTCAGTCTCTTGGGAGGCTACGCTTTAGACACATAGCCAAATTCTGGCCATTGCAACTTCAGTGGGAGTATGCTTCCAGGTTTCTTCCCCCTTAGCTGTGCAAGAAGTTCCCATTCCTTCTGTCCTGCTTTGGGATATGCACAGGCTTCTGCAGCAGTCTTGATTTCATGAGAGGCCATGTGGACCACACTTTGAAGGTGGCAGAGCACAAAGACCCAGTTTCAGGTTCTTGATGACATTGTTGAATTACCTAACCAGCCCTGAAACTCGTACCTCTGAACACTTTCATTAAGTAAGATAACAAATTTTTAGCTGGATATTCTATTACTTGCAGCTTCCTACAGATAAGGAGAAAACAAGGGAATGAACCCCAGATTTTCAGATATTGATACATGCTATTAGGACAATAAATATGATGCAGGACTGCTTCAAACTGGATGATTATAGAAAGGCTCTCTAAAGTGACATTTGAACCTGATGGAGCCAGCCATACAGAGATCTGGAGGCAAGGTGCTTTAGAGAGAGCAAACGGTAACTCTAAAAGTCCTAAGTGGCAATTATTAGAGTGAATTTGAAGAACAGAAAGAAGTCCCTTGATTGCAGTACAGCGAATAAGGGGAGGGAGTAGAATGTGAAGTCAGACAAGTTAGAGATCACTTTGTTTTTTTTCCCCGAATGCCTTGGCACAATGGTATAATTTTGGTTCTGGAAAACTGGGTGGAGGGGACATTTTAAGGATATCAAGTGGCAAAATCTCATTTTGTAAGCAGCTGCTTAGTGTGCATATTAAATGTGGTGGCACTATCTGCCCATCTCCTTCATAAGTACCGTCCTCCAGCTCCTAAGCTCCTTTTCAGAGAACTGTACTCCTCTCACATATGGTTGCCACAGGAGCAGCTCTATTTTATGAAAGGACCTGACTATAGTTTACTGGACCAGAGATGGGTATCTAATCTAAAAAGGCTTTTCCCCTAGGGGTTTCAGAATTGGGGGCAAGGGATCAAGTTAGTGCCTTGCACATGGCTAAAGATGTAAGATGTAAAGCTTGAAAAATGTAGTCATATCTTGATCATATGAAAAAACAATTGGTCGTCCATCCTGAGAGGAGGAATAAGGGAAGGACAACCCTAATGGAATTCAAGTCCCTGGTTCCTGTAGGTTCCCAAAGCCCAGCCCCATTTTTCCCTTTTTTGGTTTGGTGATTCCATTTTTTATACCATGGTTTATTTCAGGTACCTTTTAGGGGAAAGGGGAGATGTCAATAATTGGAATTAAGGGTGAAATGTTAAAATAATAAATCTTAAAATATAGAATTAGCTGAGTAAAACTGAGGTGGGGAGCAGTAATGATTCAGAGGTCCTGAGTTGAATGCCTATATTCCTAGTTATATAATAGCAAAGCAGTTGATTACTATTGTCTCTTGAGGACCATGAACATATAAAGATTTCAGTAGTGGGGTGCCTGGCTGGCTCAGTGGAGTATGAAACTCTTGATCTTGGGGTTGTGAGTTTGAGCCCCATGTTGGGTATAGAGATTACTTAAAAATAAAATCTTTTTTTTTTTAAGATTTTATTTATTTATTTGACAGAGAGAGATCACAAGCAGGCAGAGAGGCAGGCAGAGAGAGAGGAGGAAGCAGGCTCCCTGCTGAGCAGAGAGCCCGACTCGGGGCTCGATCCCAGGACCCTGAGATCATGATCTGAGCCAAAGGCAGCGGCTTAACCCACTGAGCCATCCAGGTGCCCCTTAAAAATAAAATCTTAAAAAAAAAAAAGATTTCAGTAGAAGTCGATATATCCACCATGTATTTATTTATTTTGTTCTATCTTTAGGAAAACTAATTTCTAGTTAAAGCTGGCTTACCTCTAAGTATATAGAGAACAACAGAGTGTGCTTTAAGAAAACACTTTTTTTGCTCATAACCAGTGATCTGTGACCACTATTGCTTCGATAATTATCTTGCTAAATTGTACCAGCCAAATTCTTTTCTCTTTTTTTTAAAGATTTCATTTTTTATCTGAGAGAGAGAGAGAGAGAGAGAGCATGAGCGAGGTAAGGGGGCAGAGGGAGAAGCAGACTCCCTGCTGAGCAGGGAGCCCAATTCGGACTCAATCCCGGGACTCCAGGATCATGACCTGAGCCAAAGGCAGACACTTCACTGTCTGAGCCACCCAGGTACCCCTGTACCGGCCAAATTTTTAACAGCACTCTAAGATCTGTGCATTGATTTGGAAATTTGAGGGAACCTGAAATCTTATTACTCTCCTTCCCTTGCTCCAACCTATCCTTGACTTTTGCCAATTAGTACCAGGGCTTGGTACATTCTTTTCTACTAGGCAGAAAAGTTCCCTTTCCTCTACTAACTTTATCATAATTCCAGTTCTCCCCCATCTCTCTATTTGAGCTTGCATCCTGAAACTTCCTGAGAATTCAGATCTGGATTAGGTACTCTTGCTAAGAACTCTTATAACACTGTGTTCCCACTATCACCTAGTTTTACAACTGCTTTCTTGTCTTTCTGCACCACTGAACTATAAGTTGAAAGCTGGGCACATAGTACGGTTTTAATAAAGAGTGTTGCATGAATGAATCAAAAGTTATAATGAATACTAAAATAATATATGCAAAGTATTTGGCACATAAACAATCAATACTTTTTTCTTGTTAGTTTTATTTTATGATTCATAAAAAAACCCTAGAACCTGAGAACAGTAAGGCATACTGAATTGCCCTACAGTGCGAACAGCTATGCAGATGAAACCAGGGGTGATGCGAAAATTTAACAGTTTGGCCAACCGTCATAGCAGATGCCCAATAATTAGAACAGAAGAGCCTGGCCTTCTACTTAGAAGAGATGATTGGCCTTGCCCCAACAACAGAACATAAATTCACTTATTAATAAACTGAACATATGGTGACTATATCTAAGAAGAAATGAAATTAAATTGATGGAAAGTTATTTACCAGTGATACTTTGAAAGACAATCCAAGTAGTTACATTGACACTACTTATACTGATAAGAACTTACTTATAAAATAATCAATATCTCTTTTATATATTAGTGACAGTCATTAAAAAAACAATATTTCCAAGCATATAAAGCATAATAAAATCTAAGAATAAATTTAAGGTATACCAAGCATAATTTAAAACTATACAGCTTTACTAAGGATCATAAAAATACTTGAATAAAAGGGGAAAGAGCATGTGCTTTTAAAGATTCTTCGATATTAAAAGATGATAATTCTTCCCAAATCGTTTTACAAACACTGAAATTTCAAATAAAACACCAAAGTTTTTTTGGTAAAGTTCTTGTTGAAAGATAACATACATACAAAAAGCGCATGTATAGTACATCTCAACACATTTGTAATTATTTTTAAATGGGTTTAAGTTCAAAGTCTATCTGAAGTAAAATGGAGCAAAATAGCCCATAAAATTTCAATTTAAAAAACTAAAATTTTGGGGGCGCATGGGTGGCTCAGTGGGTTAAGCCTCTGCCTTCGGCTCGGGTCATAGAGTCCTGCATCAGGATCTCTGCTCAGCAGGGAACCTGCTTCCCCGGCCCCCCGCCTGCTTCTCTGCCTACTTGTGACCCCTCTCTCTCTGTCAAATAAATAAATAAAATTTTTCAAAAAGTTAAAAAAAAAACTAAAATTTTGGAGCTGGTACTCTAATATAGAAATTGACAGAAAAGGATAAAAAGCCCCCTCCCCCCCCAAAAAGCTCATGAAAACATGTATAAATAAATATGGTTAATGTAGCATTTCAGATTGTGAGTTAATTATAGAATCTTTAATGGTGCTAGGATGACTGTGATATCAGTATTTAACTGAATGTTGGATTTAAAAAAGAAATATAAATAAAATCAGAAAAGATCCAGAATAATATATAGCTTAAAATTTACTATTTGTAAGCATGCCATTAAAAATTGACATCATAATAAAGAAGATTGATAGACTTGTCTGCATACATTTAATACTTCTCTGTAGTGAAAATCGTAACGTTAAAAGGCAAATGACAAATGAGGAGACAGTGTTCGCTATCTTCATTAGGTCCCAGGCAGTGTCTGATAAGATCAAGGTGTGCTTTATTCTATTGAGTTTATGTACAGATCCTGGAGTCAGATTGCTTGGATTTGAATGTGAAACAGCCCACTTACCAGCTGTCTTAGGTCAGGTTCCCTAGAAGCCATAGCTAAGATGAAGATTTCTATACAATTGACTTATCAAAGATGTTCTCTTCAGTGAAATCTAAAGAATGCAGGAAATAGGCTAAGACAGCGGGATAACCTAGTAAAGACAAGGGTTCAAATGAAGCTTTACCTCAGCCTGACCTCACTGGAAGATATAGAGCAAACATGGTACCACGAAGTCTTCTGGCCTTGAAGCAAGCAGGCTGGGCCTTTGTATCCCCACTGCATACGTCAGTCATTGTTTGTAGGCCATCCAAATACTTGGGACAAACTGAGGACAATTTTCCTGAGAAGGGTGCAACTCTGAGTTGTTAGCCACCAACCATCATGGCGACTAGATGATGGCTGGATGCACTCGATGGACAAGGGGATTGGGAGATAGCACTAGCAGCATCTTCTAAAATAACTAAAATCAGTCATCCTGATTGAGTTTCTTAACTCTTTGAAGCTTTCATTTCCTCATTTACAATGAAAACACATCAATGCCATTGGGTTGTAGGAGTTATGGTAAGGAATAGTATGTCAGGAAAGAGTAACAAAAATACTCAAAAGTTAGCATTTAGAGAGTCTTACAAGTCTAAATGTTCACTAATAGTAAAATGGGAAAACTGCAAAGACTGGCAAAGCATAAGTGAAGAAACATAATTGTCCAAAATATCAGAATATTTTCTTTCACTGTAACTATAGAAATGCAAACTTAAAGCAAATAACTATTTATTTCTTATTTAAGAGACAAAATCAAAGACAATACTCAGTGTTAGCAAGGTGTCTGTGTGGGAATAGAGCAATATCTTACATTCCTATCAAGAGTATAAAATGATCGGGGTGCCTGGGTGGCTCAGTGGGTTAAAGCCTCTGTCTTTGGCTCGGGTCATGATCCTGGTGTCCTGGTGTCCTGGGGTCGAGCCCCGCTTCGGGCTCCCTGCTCAGCAAGGACCCTGCTTCCCCCTCTCTCTCTGCCTACCTCTCTGCCTACTTGTGATCTCTGTCTATCAAATAAATAAATAAAATCTTAAAGAAAAAAGTATAAAGTGATCGATTGTTTTCTGGAGGGCATATTGAAAATCTGTCTGAAGTTTTTAAATCATGTATACCTTCTTAAATGTGCATTCCCATTTCCAAGAATTTATTTGCAGAGAATCTGGCATAGAAATTGGTAAATACTTAAAAATACAAAGAAGTGCATACGTAGTGTTATTCAAGTATTGGAAAATTGGCACGAGCTGATAATTAAGAAGGGATAATAATGACAATACAGTTACTATGAAGAGAAATGGTATAAAAATATACTTACTGATAAGAAATTAAGTCCAAATTTGAGTCAAAAACACAAATTAAAAAATTGTATCCTGGGGAGCCTGGGTGGCTCGGTTGGTTAAACAACTGCCTTCGGCTCAGGTCATGATCCTTGAGTCCCAGGATCGAGTCCCACATCAGGCTCCCAGCTCCATGGGGAGTCTGCTTCTCCCTTTGACCTTCTTCCCTCCCATGCTTTCATACTCTCTCTCTCTCTCTCAGATAAATAAATAAAATCTTTTAAAAAATTGTATTCTGATAATAAGACACAATTTCTAAAAACATCTGGAGGTAACATACACTAGTGGTGATTATCTTTGTGAGACGAATTATTTTTATCTTCTCTGTGCTTATTTGTAGCTTTCTGATCTTTCTGCAGTGAAGAAGTGACAAAACAGTAACTCACAAGCTTCAGGCTTCTCAGGAGCTCAAGCCGGTAGGTACAAAATGTGAGGGTGGCCTTTAGCCACAATTTAGTTATTTTTGATTTCCTGCTATTTCTGCCAAACCAAAATTTGTAAGCAAATGGCTTGGAACATATTTAAAGATAGAATGAAGATCAGTTTCAAGTAAACAGATCTCTTAAACACACAGACACAAATCACTACGAACAATGAGTGCACATCTTTTTACCTAAGGAAGAAAAAGAAAATCTTTCCTATAAGAGCGACTGGTGAGAGAACTACCTTAGGTTGTTGCTTTGAAACTTGATTCACACTCATTCGAGGAATTGTTTCTTCAGTATACTCATTTTATTCTGTATTTAGGCTCATTGACACTATTTGGGCAAGATAGCAAACTGTATCAATCAGAATCACAACAGAAAACAGATGGCACAAAGGGGTAAGTGAAGAGAGGAGAACAAAGGGATAGTTTACAATGCTGTGGGCAAGGCTCAGAAAAGGCATGACATCAGGGCTTGCTAGCAGTATCAGAGAGGTTGAAAGAATGAGAAGGAGGAGCTGTTGTTTGAACCTTGAGAAGCCAACTGAAAGATGCAGGGACTCAGTAGAACACAAGTCACCATACCAGTCACATCCGGCTCCTGTCCTCCAAGTGTTGGCTCAGCACTTCAGGCAGCTTCCATGTCCGGGCACCTCCACATCAACACAAGTGTCCACAATCCTCACAGCAGGGGCAGAGAGAAGAGAAGCCCCCACACCAGCTCTTCAGTGCAGCTAACTGGAGGTGATGGGTCATTTCTGTGCACGTCTCATTGGCCGAAGCAAGTCATTGGTCTTGCCCAACCACAAGGGGCTGGGGAAGAATCCTCATATGCACCTGAAAGGAAAAGAGAACTAGAAACACTGGTGAAAAACACGGACAGAGAGTAACCCCTGTTCTTTTGTATTACTCTGCATTCCTTTGTATGAGAGACAAATTCTCACCCAACCTTGGGACATACTCTATGCTGTGCCGTGTCACAGTTGCCACTAACCACACTGAGCACCTGAATGTGATTTGAGGTGTGCTGTGCAGGTAACATAAACCTCAGAGTTTTCAAAGACTTAGTACAAAAAGTAGAATGCAAGATAGCCCATTAATGGTTTTCATTATTGATTATATGTGGAATGGTAATGTTTTTGAAATACTGAGTCAAATAAATATACATCATTATTTATTAATTTTATCTATTTTTATTTTTTAAATGTGGTTTCTAGAAAACGTTGTGTGTGTCTTGTGTTGTGGCTCGCACTATATTGCTATTGAACAGTGCTGTTCTAGAGAGTTCTCCTGGTTCCTGAGAGAGTTTCTAATAGGAAAAGATAGGGGCACCTGGGTGCCTCAGTGGGTGAAGCCTCTGCCTTCGGCTCGGGTCATGATCTCAGGGTTCTGGGATCCAGCCCCGCATTGGGCTCTCTGCTCAGCAGGGAGCCTGCTTCCTCCTCCCTCTCTGCCTGCCTCTCTGCCTACTTGTGATCTCTGTCAAATAAATGAATAAAATCTTAAAAAAAAAAAAGATAAAGATAAAGAATTACCAATTTCTGCTAGAATTCTCCACAGAATGAATCATTACTTTAATTGTTCCTGTAGGCAAGCAGCTACACAAGTGTGAAGGTTTTCTTCTTTTATTCTAGTGTCTAATTTAAAATTCTTTATTAAAATTCAGGATCAGTTTTTTTTTTTTTAACTTTCCTCCATAAAGGCAAAGCACAGGTGGTTTGTAGAGACCATTATTCCATGGAGAGTCTTTTTTATAAAACGTGTTTAAATGTCACTTAGTTCCATTAAAACAAAGGAGCCATTCAGCAAATGTGTTGCATTTTAGTTTTTTACCTTCTTGTAGAAACTCATTTGAAAGACTTTGACTACTTTCTTACTAGGAAAGGGTACAGAGAAAGTCATTAACTTTACCTTTTCCTGCATATTGAGAGCTGAAGTTGTAGGAAGTTCTTGAGTTTTCTTGGAAATATGGTCTAACGGTAGCTATTTGATGGCCTGTGCCAGAGATGCCCCCTTTGCCCCTTCAGTCCCCTCCCTTCCCCTAGACCCAGCTCTTTGCCCAGGAGGCTGACCTGCAGGTCTGTACTACAAGGTCTGGAATGGAGATTTCCGGTAGAGACGAGAAGTGGGGAGAAGATCAGGGTCAGGGTATTTACTTACCTGCAAGGTAGCTTGGGGCTGTCTGTTTAGGGTTGAGTCAGAAAAGGGCATCACTCTAAATAAAAGAGTTCAATATGGAAATTAGAGTACTGACTGAGTACCACTGCTTTTTGTCATGACGGCAAGTTCCAGCATTGGCTCACTCTGCTCATCCTTGTGGGTCTAGGAGTGGTGACAACTTTGCTGCTCCTACCCTCAGATGGCTGCCCTAGCCCTTGTGATTCCCTAATACTCCCTTGAGTGCTCCTGAAGTGAGTGTGCCATCCACATTCGACTGCGACCCTGACACTGCGCCCGCTGGCATCTGGTGGGAGGGCTACCTCAAAACAGGGGTTGTTGAGTGTTCTGGCCAAAAATGAAGGACAGAGGAGCAGCAGTTTGAAGATATTTGCTTAAGTCTAGGAACATAAGACATATATTTCTGCCTGATATTTTGAAAAGCTCTTACAATGTCTTAGGACAACAAACTCTGTAATATGACTAAGATAAGAAAGAAAGGTATCAGGATGCATCTTATATGCTGTAGTTTTTTCTCTGGAAAAGAAATGTCAATAATGGAACCACACATTAAGCTCTACACTCCACAATTCTTGGTCTTCTAAGAAGATACTTGCACTTCTTTTAGATGGGAACTTGAAAAACTTCCTTTGTTTCCCCACTGGTACAATGAAGAGTTTAGACAGTATTATCTTACATATATCCCTGTGCCTTAACATTCTGTAAGTCTGTAGTGTTTCAGTCAAATCTGTGAAATATGGCTTTGGGGCCTTCGGCTTGGTGGAGGTGAAAGTGCAGCTGTCTTCGGGTGTCCTGAATCTGGGTTTATCCGACACCAGCCCCTCCACCACGCCCCCTAAGCTTGACCCCAGAGAGATCCAAGTTGTGTACCTAAGGTGCTCCGGTAGGGAAGTCTGTCCTGGTCCAGAAGATCGGCCCCCTGGATCTGTCTCCAAAAACGGTTGGTGATGACAGCGACAAGGCAGCTGGTGATTTGAAGGGCCTGAGGACTGCAGTGAAACTGACCATTCAGAACACACAGGCGCAGACTGAAGTGGAACCTTCCGCCTCTGCCCTGATTACCAAAGCCCTCAAGGAACTGCCAAGAGAGAGAAAGGAGCAAAAACACATTAAGCACAGTGGAAATGTCACTGTTGATGAGATTGTCAACATTGCCTGACAGATGTGGCTCCGATCTTTAGCCAGAGAACTCTCTGAAACCATTAAAGACATTCTGGAGACTGCCCAGTCCGTGAGCTGCAATGTGAAATCATAGATGATATCAGTAGTGGTGTGGTACAATGCCCAGCTAGTTACAAACTACAAAGGAAAATATTTTAATAAGGGATCATTTGATAACTAAAAAAAAAAAAATCATGGAATAACATAGTGAAGTAAATGTGTGGATTTCTCTGAAGTAACGGGATGAATATTTTGCAAAACAAACTTCACCTTCCCACCTAAGAAATCAGACATAATTATTTTTGCTACGCCCTTGAAAGCACCTTGTAAGAGTACATGGTCCTAATAGCCCCAAGCTGGGTCAGAGGTCAATGAACAATGGCCCATGGGCCAAATGCAACCTGCTGCCTGTTCTGTGAAGTTTTCTTGAAACACAAGCCGTGCTGATTTGTTTATCTGTTGTCTCTGTCTGCTTTCTCACTACCATAGCAGAGTTGAATTGTTGCAACAGAAATTATGTCAGTCCACAAAACCTAAAATGTTTACCATCTAGCCCTTTACAGAAAAAGTCTGCCAACCCCTGGCTTAAGATGGATAAGCAGCTGGGGCCCTGGGTGCCTGAGTGGGTTAAAGCCTCTGCCTTCGGCTCCAGTCACGATCCCAGGGTTCTGGGATCGAGCCCCACATTGGGCCCCCCTGCCTGCTTCTCTGCCTACTTGTGATCTGTCTGTCAAATAAATAAATAAAATCTTAAAAAAAAAAAAAAAAAGGATGTGTAAACAGCTGACATACTCCAGATCCTGATAGTGGGTGATTAAAGGTACAAATAAAGGTCCCATTTTGAAAGTACCAGAATTAAGTGCTCACCTCTGCAGCACAATTAGTGAAAGCAGCAAAATTATAACACTTGGTATGTATGACGCTTCAAAGACAGTCTGGTAATCTGAGGATCTGAGGTCAGTTCCATTCTTGACCAGCTTAATCTTGTGAGAGTTACCTAATTTTTCTTAATTGTAAAATCACATGAGAGAATACATGGAGCACCTTAAATTTCCATCTGAAAGTAAAGAGTTATTAAATATTAATTTTGACACTGCAGAAAAGAAAACTCTAGGTCTATGAAGTTAGAAGTTTGGAAAATTCATCATATGGCCATAAAGCTTAACATGCAATGTTCAGTAAATTACTGAATAACCATCTTCCTCCCATTGCCCTCATAAAGCCACTCCTTCAGCAAAAAAAAAAAAAAAAAAAAAGAAAGAAAGAAATAAAGAAAGAAAAACAACAAAAAAAACCCCAACAACCTTGAATCTCATAGACAGGTGACATACTGGGAACAATGCAGGGGAGTGAGAAGCCCAACAATGCAGGGGAGTGAGAATACAGAAGAATTTGGAATGAAGGCCTCCTGGCAATTGTGTGTACTAGGACCCTGGCCAGGAGGATACTGGGGTTTCATAGCTCTCAATCTACAAAAGCTTCTGCAGTTGGCTCCACGAAGAGGCTCTGCAATGGAACCTTCCAGCTGTGCATTCACAGCGGCCTTGAGTTCTGAATGAGGAACAGACGACCTGCCAGGAATACCTGTCAAATGTCAAAGTTGGAGCAAAAAGGATTTAGAAATGCCGTGCAAGGAAATCCTCAGGAACAGACTGAGGTTTAAAAGGATCATCCTTCTGTTTTTATTTTCAGAACAATAGGGGATTTTTTTTTTTTTTTGAGATCATTATAAAGAAAGCTAATTCTTCTCTTCTGGCAGCACAGGGTTTAAAGTCCAACAATTCACTCCCGTTTCTCTGCCTGAGCTGGAATTCAACAGATAAGAAGAGAGTCTTAATGATTAATCAGCCCGAACACTGCTCTGGAGCAAGAAAGGGAATTTATTTTCATTTTACAGGTGAAGAAACTGAGGCCCTGAAGGATCAAAATACCTATTTGAGGTCGTATAGTTCTTTTGTGCAGGGTGAAAATGAGTCCCTGAGTCTCTGATTTCTGCTGTACTCTTTTTTGTCTAAAGCGGCCTGCTTCTCCAGAACCCAGAACTTGGGTAGATGACACTGGTCAAGCCTCTGACCTACTGAATGATGTTGGAGGATCTCTCTCTGGCTTTGTTTTCTCCTCTGTAAAATGGTCAGAATACCCAACTATCCTTCCTCATGAGGATGATGAAACTCAACTGTGATCAAAGACATGACATTGCGATTCAGTGGATAGGGCAGACGCTTATTTCTCTCTATAAAATCCATTCCCTTCTTCCTTATTAACCTCACTTTACTCCAGCAGCCATACACCCAGTCACAGAGAGTAAGTCATGCTTAAACCATGGCAGCCAATGGTGGTCCCATCCTCTTTGCCAGTGATTGTGCTAGAGATTGTCATGTGACCCAGAACTGGTCCAGATGATAGACAGGAAAGCCTGGAGAAGGGTGTGGAAAACTTTAAGGAAGTTCTTTTCTACCTGATAAAAGGCACAAGTGGTAACTTGAAAAGTTTAAGTGTTTGCAAAGGATGCTCTCTATTAGATGGAGGACATAATGGGTGGAGCAAAGAAAAGTAGCAGTTAGAAGCTCATTTTCTCAGCAAATATTCATGGTGGGCTCACCATGTGTTAGGCACTGAGAATACAGAAGAGAAAAAGCAGATCTAAATTCCTGTCCCATGAAGGTTACATTCTAGTGAGGGGAGACAAGATAAATGAGCACAATATGTAGTATACAGGGGAGAAGTGTAAAAGAAACATGAAGGCAGAAATGAGAACACAAATGATTAGGGACTGAAAGTTTTAGACAGGATGGCGATGGATGCCCTGGAGAAAGTAGCTTTTGAGTAAAAGCCTGAAGGAAGTGAGGGAGCGAGCCAGGGTGGAGTCTGCAGTTAGAATCACTTAGAGGGCACAGTGAGGTTGCTGGTGTGGCTGCAGTGGAGTGAGCAACATGGGGAGGGATAGAAAGTGTGATCAGTGGTATGGATGGAGACTTGAAGCCACCACGGGTCTTTGTTTCTTACTCTGAGTCACAGTGGAATCCCCTTTGGAAGGTTTTGAACAGAGAGATGACTTGATCAGACCTCATTTTAGCAGGATCATTCTGGCAGCTTTGTGCAAATAGACTGAAGAGGTACAAGGCAGAAAAGAACCACTTAGGAGGAGGTTATTTGATAATACAAGTGAGAGTCACTGGTTGTCTTGGCCAGAGTGTTAGTGGAAATATAAAAGGTTGTCCAGATTCTGAATAGATTTTGAAGATGGAGTTGTCAGGACTTGTTAAAGGTCAAAGTTGGGTTTGAGGGAGTTGAGGACAACTGAAGTTTTGGGTTTCAGCACCTGGGATAGCGGAGTTGTCATTTATTGAGTGGGCAAGACTGGGAAAGGTATGCTTTGGGAACAATATCAGAAACTTGCTTTTCATCTTGTCTGAGATGCTGAAAATTAGTCATCAAAATGGATATGTCACCTATACAGTTGGATAACAAGTCCAATAAATTAGGCATTAATCAAATGGAAGGAATACCAGAAATGAGTCACAGGGAAGCATCTAACTCACTGTGTCAAAAGGAGGGTGATTTCTTCAAGCCTGTTTCCTCATCACCGAAATGGGAGTAACAGCCAATGTTGTGTAGGTTTAATAAGATAAAAGTACCCTAGCACTGTGTTTTAAGCAACAAAAAGTGAGTAATATTCTTTCGTTCTCCCGCCTAACTGGAATCTTCAAGAAATTAAGCCACATGACCTACTAGTTAATTTCCTTGGTGTAAGAATCAAAGAATACCTGAATATTTATGATGGGCTCGGTGACTTCCAATTCCTTAGAGCCATCGCATGGTCCTGGGGTAAAGATCTAATTTCTATTTTATAGAGGAGGAAACAGATTCAGAAATAAAGTAACGTTCCCGAAGTTACACCACTAGTGCCACCTTCAAGATCAATTTTTCCTTTATTTCCAACCTAACAATTGCATTTTTAAGGAAATCTCAATTATCTTCACTCTTTTTTTTAATGTTTCATTTATTTATTTGAGAGAGAGAGAGAGAGGAGCAGCAGCAGAGGGAGAAGGAGAAGCAGACTCCTCGCTGAGCAAGGAGCCCAATATGGGGCTTGATCCCAGGATCCTGGGATGATGACCTGAGCCATTCACCTACCCAGGTGCCCCTCTTTTGTAAAAAAATTTTAAAGAGTGCCTGACAGGGGTGCATGAGTGGCTCAGTTGTTAAATGTCTGCTTTGGCTCAGGTCATGATCCCAGGGTTCTGGGATCTAGCCCCCCATTGGGCTCCCTGCTCAAGGGGGGGAAGCCTTCTTCTTCCTCTCACACTCCCTCCTGCTTATGTTCCCTCTCTCGCGGACTCTCTCTCTGTCAAGTGAATAAATAAATTCTTTTTTTTTTTAAAAAGATTTTATTTATTTATTTGAAACAGAGAGAAAGAGATCACAAGTATGCAGAGAGGCAGGCATAGAGAGAGAGAGAGGAGAAAGCAGGCTCCCCGCTGAGCAGAGAGCCCGATGCGGGCCTCGATCCCAGGACCCTGAGATCATGACCTGAGCAGAAGGCAGAGGCTTAACCCACTGAGCCACCCAGGCGCCCTGAATAAATAAATTCTTAAAAAAAAAAAAAAAAAGAGTGCCTGACACATAGTAAGATATACAGAGACCTAGGGTTCCTAGGATTGTAGGAAGGAATTCCTAGAAAGGAATGTGGGAAAAGAGGAATAAAGGCAGATTTTACATATCTCACCAACTGAGCCACCCAGGTACCCTCAACTGTCTTTACTATTTACTAACACCAATTCCAAAAAGTGACCATTTCCCTTCCACATTAACATACCATTTTTGGGAAGAGGTTCTCAAGATATTTTTAGAGAACACAGGTCTAGAGGGGGAATTCTTACCTCTGCTAGCAACCAGCGCAGCAAATAGGGATGTGTCATAACAAATGATGGTAACCGCCTGGGTTTACACCTACGGAATATAGCCATGTGACAAATTCCTGAGTGATCATCTGACATTTCCAGTCTTCAGTTGATCTAGAGTGAGAGTATTAAAGTTTTTAGCAAGCTGCTGCTAATCAGAGAGATATTACTGAACCGTGATTTGATCTTTTGGTGTTAGGAGCCCAGCTCGAGGACAAATTTAATGTGAGAACAATGTTACCACAATGCTTGGACTTCAGTTTAAACCTGAGTCAGTCCTGAGATCCAGAGGGCTCTTGGAACTAATAGTTAGCTAGAATAGGAAGCGGTTGTTGAACCATGCATGGCAGCTAAGTTGTGACTAAGAAGGTGACAGTTGTTTTTGGGTCTATATATGGACTTATTCACATGGGCTGAATTATGAAGCAGGTAAGAACATGGTGTTCTCTCTTTCCCTCCACCCTGTCCATGTGTCTATTTCTGAATCTTCCACAAATCTGCTTTACAAAGTGAACTTTACTTTATGAGTGTCTAAAACTCCAACTCATTATTAGTAAAATTAAACAGAACTAAGCAATCTGGGAAAAAAAATACAACAAAGGACAGTTGAAGTCCTCCATGGACTATTCATATAAGTTGACCAGAAAGAACGAAATCCTTAATGATGAACAGGCACAGAGAACATGAGCCAACAATTCACAGAAATAAAACATGCCTAATAAGCTCACGGAATGTGTGAAGACTCACTAGTAACCAACTATAGAGACTTCAACTGAAAGAAACAACATAATTTTTCACCTATCAAATTAGCAGGTTTGAAATTGGTGTTCAGTGTCCCTGTAGGGATTCCATACAGTGTTGGTGGCTGTATAAATGGCAAAAACTTTCCAGGAAATGATTTGGTGACATGCAACAGCAGCACTAACCATGGGTGTGTGCTGAGATCCTATAGTTCTTTTTGTGTTTTTTTTTTTAAGCTTTTATTCAAATTCCAGTTAGTTAACATACAGTATAATATTAGTTTCGTGTGTATGATATAAAGATTCAACACTTTCATACATCACCCAGTGCTCATGACAGCAAGTGCCCTCCTTAGTCCCCATCATGTATTTCACCCATCCCCCACCCACCTTCCCTCTGGTAACCATCTTTGTTCTCTATGGTTAAGAGTCTCTTTCTCAGTTTGCCTTGCTCTCTCACCCTTTTTTTCCCTTTGCTCAATTTGTTTTGTTTCTTAAATTCCACATTTGACTAAAATCAAACAATATTTGTCTTCCTCTTATTTTTATTCTTATACTTATTTCACTTAGCATAATACCTTTTAGCTCCAACCATGTCACTGAAAATGGCAAGATTTCATCCTTTTTGATAGCTGAGTAATATTCCATGAATTTTATTGATTGTTTCCTTTGCAGAAGCTTTTTCTTTTGATGAAGTCCCAATAGTCTGTTTTTGCATTTGTTTCCCTTGACTCAAAAGACATTATCTAGAAAGAAGTTACTATGGCTGACAGCAAAGAGGTACTGCCTGTGGTCTCCTCTAGGATTTTGATGGTATCCTATCTCACATTTAGGTCTTTCATCCATTTTAATTTATTTTTGTATATGGTGTGAGAACATGGTCCAGTTTCATTCTTCTGCAATTTTGCTGTCCAGTTTTTCCAACACCATTTGTTGAAGAGACTGTCTTTTCCTCATTGGATATTTTTTCCTGCTTTGTTATAAATTAATTGAGCATATGGTTGGAGGTTCATTTCTAGGTTTTCTAGTCTGTTCCAATGATCTATGTGGCTATTTTTGTGCCAATATTATACTATTCTGATAACCACAGCTTTGTAATATATCTTGAAGTTCAGAATTGTGATGCCTCTAGCTTTGTTTTTCTTTTCAAAGGAAAAGAACGGAAGTATAACAGAATTGGTTACTGGGGGTCTTTTGTGGTTCCATACAAATTTTAGGATTGTTTGCTCTAGCTCTGTGAGAAATACTGTTGGTATTTTGATGGGGATTGCATTAAATGTGTAAATTGCTTTGGGTGGTATAGATATTTTAACAATATTTGTTCTTCCAATCCATGAGCATGGAATGTCTTTACATTTCTTTGTGTCATCTTCAATTTCTTTCATGAGTGTTCTATATTTTTCAGGCTACAGGTCTTTCATTTCTTTGGTTAGGTTATTTCCCAGGTATCCTGTTTTTGGTGCAATTGTAAATGAGATTGATTTCTTAATTTCTCTTTCTGCTGCTTCATTCTTGGTGTATAGGAATGCAACAGATTTCTGTACATTGATTTTGTACCCTGAAATTTTACTGAATTTTTTTTTACTCTTTCTATAAATACCTTAAGACTTAAGGAAAAAGATCTTCATTTAGTTTATAAAGCAAAGTTTAAAAAAAACTAATATCCATCAACAAATGTTTAAATTATGTTTAGCCACACGGTATACTCCATGTCATCATGGGATGACTAAGAAGACTTATAATAATGTAGAAAAGATGATAAGTAAAGATAAGAAATAGGACTTACACAAGATTGTCTGACTTGTATGAAAAATACATCCATAGAAAAATGTATTTCATCATATTTCCTTTTACTATTTACAGTCGCTGATATTTAGCAGGTATAATTCCAGGCAATTGCTCAAGCATCCCCATGTGCCAGACCCTGAACTTTTTATAGATCGTTCTACAGATACCCTCTTTTAAACAGTAAATATAGATGAGATTTTTTCTTTTTTCCTAACCTTTACCACTAAAGCTTTTATTTTTTTAGCATAGATCATTCCAAGTGGGATGTTCCCATCCTTAAAACAGAAGTTTATGGAAGTATATTTTATGTATCATAGAATTTATCCATTTCAAGTATACAATTCAGTGATTTCTAGGAACCTTACTGAGTGGTACAATCATCACCATAACCCAGTTTTAGAACAGTTTTATTCCCGCAATAAGATTCCTCTTGCTCATTTATATTTAATCTTCAGGCCCACTTCCAGCCCCAGGCAGCTATTAATCTACTTTCTATCTCTATAAATTTGCCTTTTTTGGACATTTCATATGAATGGAGTCATTTAACATGTAGTCCTTTGGCCTTTTGTATCTGACTTCTTTCACTTAGCAAAATGTTTTGGAGTTTCATCCATGCCATAGCCTATGTCGGCAGTTTATTGCTAAATAAATTTTCCATTGTATGGATACAGCCCCTTTTGTCTATCCATGCACCAGATAAAGGACATTTATTTTGCTTCCCAACTTGGAGATATTATGAATATACCCATTTTTCAGATGAAGAAACTGACTCCTACAGACTCAGTAACTTCCCCTAAGATTGCACAGCTACTCAATGTCAGAGCCAAGGTTTGCCTCCAAGGTTACCCAACTCCAGAGCCCAACCACTCGGGTGACTGCTAGACAATACAATCAGGTGATTGATGCTTTCCCTTTACATTTTTGTTTCTGTGTGTTCTACAACTCATGTTTTGTCACTTAAAACTTTGAAAGGAGTCTTTAAGTATATTTAAACTGTGAGCAATGAAATGGTGACATGCTGTCTCTTCAGGAAGCAAGTGTAGTTTATAGACAGGACATTAGCTTTATTCCTTCAGTAAAAATGTCCAATTTCAGTCCTCAACAAAGGGTCAACCCAAGATGGAACCATGGCAGCAGGCTACCCAGAAATGCTTTGGAAGTTCATCTCCAGCCCCCACGGAAGCCTCCTGGATTCCATGTGCTCACCACCACAGGAGTTGCTGTTTCAAGCTGACTACTGATGATGGGGCCATAACCCAGCTGAGTGACAGTAGTAAAACGTCCCTCAATGAAAATATTTTCTAACCAATTGGTTCTTTCTGAAGTCAGACAGTAGTTGAATAAATCCTGATATTTTTACAGGCCCTTTTGTCTTTTAATGCTTTGACATGTTTTACAGGCTACCTGTATGCCTTTTATGTCCCAAAGATACACATTTTAGTTAAATTTGAAAATACATGAAAAGGTTCTTGACATCACTCATCAGCTGGGAAATGCAAACCAAAACCCTAACTAGGTATCACCTTACACCTGTCAGAATGGCTGTCATCAAAAAAGACAAGAAATAAAAGTGTTAGCGAAGATGTGGAGAAAAGGGAACCCTGGCACACTGGTGGTAGGAATGGAAATTGGTGCAGCCACTATGGGAAACAGTACAAGAAGGTCCTCAAAGTTAAAAATAGAACTACCCTATAATCCAGCAATCCCATTTCTGGGTGATGAAGATCGCCATCTTGAAGAGGTATGTGCACTCCCATGTTCATTTCAGCATTATTCATGATAGCTAAGATAATGGAAACAATATAAGTGCCCACAACAGATAAATGGATAAGGATGTTTTAGTTACATATAAGCCCACAGTGGGATAGTATTTAGCCATGAGAAAGAAGGAAATTCTGCCATTTGTGACAACTTGGATAAACTTTGAGACCATCAGGTTAAGTGAAGTAAGAAAGAGAAAAACTGTATGATATCACTTATATGTGGAAACTAATTTTAGGCCAACTCAGAGGAACAGAAAGTAAAGTTATGGTTACCAGGGACTGGGCAGATGATAAACATGGGGAGATAGTGGTCAAAGGGTACAAAATTCCAGTTATGAGATTAATAAATTCTGGGGATCTAATGTCCAACATGGTGATTTTAGCTAATAATACTGTATTGTACACTTGAATGTTGCTAAGAGAGGATCTTAAAAGTTCTAACCACAATAGAAAATGGTAATTATGGGACATGATGGAAATGTTAGCTAATGCAATGGTGGTAATCATTTTGTGGTATATTAATGTACCAAATAAACATGACATGTACTTTAAATTCCCTATATGTCAATTATAATCTCAAAAACATTGGGGCAGAGGAAGAAAATACAGATCATTAGGATATGGCAGCCAGCTTCCAAGATGACCCCCGCTTCCAGATATTCATACTCTTGAATCATCCCTCACCACGTTATACCAGAATGGGTCTTGTGTGAACAACAGAATGTGCAAAAGTGACACGTAACTGCAAAGACTAGGTTGTAAGACTTTGCTGCTTCTGCCTTAGCATCTCCCTTATACCCCTTCTTTCATCACTGGTTCTGAG